AAAGAATTTCAAAGCGTGTCTCAGAGAGACTGAGGGCCTGTGCGCCCGATCTGCTGCTCCAAATTTCAGATATTCGGCAAACTGAAAGTGTCCGAGTGATTGGAACTTTTTCTGTCCTGCATCTAATTCGCCAAGCGCCTTCCATCAAGTGCGCCTGAGCGCGTGGCTGCGAATGCTTACGTCATGCACAATGAACCCGCAGCCCCAACCAGGCCTGTGTTTTGTGCCGTAAAAACTGATCGTATTTACGTTTTGCACTTAAGAATAGTTTTTACGTTTTGTGCGTAACAATGCCTAATAATACGAAAATGCAACGTAAAACTGCCCGGTGTATATAAGGACAATACATACAGAATTACGGAGTCCGGAGAGTGGCAGCCAGACGATCTGGAAGGGGCAGAAAACAAGTTTTTGTTAAATGCCATTGTCGCGCTTGCCAAGGGCGAAGTGGACATTGTGTTGCGGGTGCTGGAGATGGCGGAGGGCTGATCATTGTACGCAACTTTCTATGTGTAACCTGGGTGTCCCAGGAGCCGCAAAAAGGTAAAAATAGCCGCCAAAGTAGGCCCCTTTGCAAATTTACGTTTTTACGCGTAAAAACGTAAAAGTAAAAACGTAAATGTAAATGTAAAAACCAAGCCTGGCCCCAGTCACCATACTGCCCTATCCATTCCATTTTTAGGGACGCAAGTGCGTATCTAAATACACATGTAAGCCAACCGCACGACGGTTACGTCAACAAATAATGGCATTTCGCTTCAGGCATTTGTTTGTTTGCACCTGCATACATGTGCGCAATGAGCATGTGCACTGAGCGAAATCACCAGTGTGCGTACGCTGAAAATAATAACGCATCTGGCCGATTTGAGCGCCCACCGATCGTCATGCATCAATTTGTGCACTGGTTTTGTATCGTTCGTCCATGGCCTCAATCTTTGGGCCAGCAGTTGTCAGCACCACTATTGAATGCATATTCTAGATTGATCTCTTCCGCTTCTTCAGTCTCAAGGCCTGCGAGATATTCTCCACGGAGCAAATGCTCTGGAGTTGACTTGTGTGTTTGTGACCAGGCTTGTTACTTATGTTACGGCGCCATTTTTACATTCACATTTTTACGCGTAAAACCGCTTAAATGGAGCAACGACCATTTTTGTTGCCATATTTACCATTTCTACGCCTCATTTACACACCCAGCTTGCGTGATTATGTCCCAAGCAATGGTCAGTCCTTGGCCCCTTGAGCACCCACAACACAGCGTCCACATCGCCTTCGGCAAGGTTTAATGTCGCCAAAAAAATGTCGCTTTCTGCCCACTCCAGTGCTTCTGGATGCCATTCTGCGGATTCTGCAAACATTGTCTTTATGCACACTCTGCCCAGTTTTACCCATTTTTACGGATACTTGCCCGTAAGTTATAAAATCACTTTTATGCAAAAATGTTATTTACACCGTAAACACTTTCTCTTTACGGCCGTTTATGTGCATACGCGTAAATGGCCGTAAATAAAAAGTGTTTACGGCATAAACAACAAGCTTGGTATTACAGGCATAAGCCTGTTTCTGAAAATCAGGCTGAGATAACCGCAGGAATCCTATACCTCGAAGAGTGGGAATTGCCTGCAGAAATGTGTCTCCACACCGCTAGCTAAAATCGTGCTTATTTTGCGTGCATGCTCATTTGAGCTCGTGTACAATGGACAAGGTTTCTTCTGGCGCTGCGGGGCGATGCCCTCACAGAAAATCATGGAACGTAGGCTTCTGGACGCCTCCCACGCTATTCTGGAAATCCCGCTGATCTGTCGGATACTTTAATTGCAGATGGCCGCGGCGCGGGGCACGTCGTCTAGCTGCCGTCAGAAAGGTCAATGCCCCCGCTCCCGAAGTCAAGAAACGAAAGCCACAATCTGCGCCCGCTAGGACGCGCCACACACCCGTCCAGCGCGCACGCGCCAAGGGCGTATCGCTGGAAATGGCGCCACGAGTGCCTTCGCGCTCCGGCGATGCGCCACTGACCGGTGTTGCTTGAGGCCCGCAAGGCGCGACGAAGTCGTCGAATCGACGACCCGTCTACGACACCGGCGGCCCCGCGGAATGGCGGAGAAGACCCCCAGTCCCGGCTCCCGCCCCCCGGCCTCCGAGGTTGCCGGCCTCGGTCCCGAATCTCGCCCCTTGCCCAGGTGGATCTCCCAGCCGCCTGCCAGGCGTCCCAGCCGCCGGCGCGCCTCGTTGTGCAGCGGCATGGCCTGGCTGCTGCGGTACCACGACGCCTGGGCGCTGAGGCCCCTGCTCCTGCTGGGCGCCTTCTCCACCGCTGCGCTGGCGCCCTGCAAAAGGGGCCTCTCCGCGGCCACCCTCACGGCAGGCAGGCTGGCGGCCGCCCCCGGCAGGTTCTTCAACCGGGTGGGGCGCAGTCTAGCGGGCTGCGGCGGCTCGACGCTGGGCGTGGATGACCTGCCCCCGGAGGTGCTCTACGAGGTCTTCTCCCGCCTGGACTGCAGGTCGCTGCTCCTGGCGTCCTGCGCCTGTCGGCGCTGGAGGGCGGCCGCCCTTTCGGACGAATTGTGGAGGGGCCTTGTCAGATTGGAATTCGGGGACGAGGCGGCTCGGCGGTGCGGGCGGCCCACGTGGCGCGCCTGGCTAGCATCCCTGGCGACGTCTCCCGACTTTGCGCACCACGCGCTGGTTGAGCGCTTCCGGGCCAGCCTGGGAGCGGTGGCCTACTGGAAGCTGGTCGTCGAGCCGGGCGGCTTGGCGGGGGGCGGGGAGCCCAGGTCATGGTTCCCAAGGGCTCGGCGGGGCAAGGTGGCGGCCCACTGCGACTCGGACGATGCTCTCCTGGCGCCGCAGGGGGTCATTCTGGGGTTTGTACTTTCAGACTTCAACGAAGCCGACGCGCGGCCATGGAATTTGTCCGTGGTGGCGGCGTGCAGGGCCCCGGAGACGGGCGCCACCCGAGGGGTGGTGGCCTGGTCCAGGAGGCTGTTCACCTTTCCCGGCGACGCCAGGGGCGACGGGGACGAGGAGCTGGTGGGCATGTACCCGGACCTGACCGTGGGCCGCGTGGGCTCGGCGTTCTCCGTCACCGTCAGGCTGCACTACAGGGACGTCCTGGCCGCCTGCAGGGACGTCGTGCCCATCCCGCAGACCTTGCCTCTGGGGGGGTGGGCCAGCGGGCGTGGGCAGTTGCAGACCATGCTGCTCCACGTGGACGTGTCCACGCTCACGTTCGACGGCAGCCTGGCGCTGCGCAAAGTCGAGCACTCAGTGTCCCACAGGACGCGCCTAAGGGCCTGCGACAAGACCGACAAATCCGTCATATTCGCGGGGGTGCTGCCGGGGCCCTGCCTCGGCGGCCTGGCGCCCGAGGAGGGCCCAAGGTCCAGCGTTTTCCTGGACATGGCCGTGTTCGGGTTGGAGGGCAGGCTGGCGCTGGGCCTGTCCGGGGTGCAGCTGGCCATCATCGACTGTGGCAGGGAGGGGGAACACGTGGCAATTGCGTTCCACATTGCGAACGCCGAGGCGGCAGATGTGCTGGGTGAGCGGCCGCTGGCGGCCAGGTGGGGCGACGAGAGCAAGCTCATGATGCGGACGCTGAAGCAGGGGCCCGGGCTGGTGACGCTGTTCTACCTGAAGTTTTCGAACGAGATGTGCAGGATGCTGGGCAGGAAGCTCGGCTTGGACCCCGCCCTCGATGTGGCTTCCTTGGGGGACGGGTCGGAACAGGGATTCGAGACTGACTGGTCGAGGCTGCTCATCAGGACTCTCTGAAAGCAGGGGTCTGAGTCATTCAATTTCTAGGCACGACCCCCCGCCGCGCGTGCCCGAAAGGAAAGACAAAGGAAAATGGGAAGGAAAGAAAGAAGGGAAAAGAAAAGAAGAAAGAAGGGACAAGGACTGTGGAGTGTGGGGATTGTGGAGAGTGAAGAGTGTGGGGTCCTTTGAGGCGGCCTCGACGCTGCTGCGTTGGGGAGAGACAGAGCCCAGGCAATCGAAAATTGACGGTCAATTGATGACCTCAAAATCGCCTGAACCCCAAGACGATGTGAGCTTTACGGGGGTGGCGCGTACTTGAGAAATTTCTCCTTGGGGATTTTTAGTTGGGACCATATCGCGTATGCACAGAAACGGCGTTCGGAAATTCATCTTAGCTTATTGTGTGCCAGCATGAACAAAGCACCATCAAGGCATTCTTGTGGTTTTGGTGGCTTTCGTGCATAAGAATCTCATTCTCAATGTTGTGATGAGGTATTGTTTGGCAGCAGAATCGCGGTGGTCTGAAGGTATGCTGCGTGTATATTTCCAAGGTGTGGTGCCGCTTCTGCCATTCATTCAAAGGATATCAGTCCTTTAAGGGCAGCACTTCACAGCTGACTATTTACCGAGAGAACTGAACATTCTTCTGTTACCGTCAGCTATGAGTTCCTGGGAGTTCAAGAGTGGAGAAGCGGCAAAAGAATGAGACCGGCACCGAACGCAGCAGCCGTGTAGGGAAAATGACTCCCGGGTCCAGGACGCCGCCTCGATCTTTGTTCATATTATGCAACAGGCAACAGCACCGAGAATTCTTCAGTCTGGGGCCAGCAAACGGATTTGCCACCCAAGCTAACGATGTGGGCGATGCCGATACTCTGTGATCCGTAGTTGAGGACACATGTCCTTGGATTTTTTAAGCCATCAGATGCATTGATCGTGTCTGATTTACATAGATTCCGGCAGCAAGGTCGATGAACACAATGCGCACACGTTTTGGCGACGTTCACAGAACGGAGAAATGAACAAAACAGCACAGCAGCCCCTGCACACCCAGCTCTCTTTGGCTGATCTGCATCTTTCGGATTGCATGCAACAATGCAAAAGCCAACAATTGAATTATGCAAGCCGCTGCTGCTGCTGCTGCACGTGTTCATGCCATTCATCAACATCCAGAACCTTGGTACATCCCACAACAGCCAACTTGGCGCTGCCCACCGCACCTGGGATGCTCAAGGATTATTCCACCCCTAGTCGGCAGTGCCAGCAAAAGTTCCAGCACCTTCCAGCCCCTCATGCATGATATTCTGACAGTGCCTCAAGCTCAAGTGCTCCAGAAATGTCAGCACCCTGATATGCGCCAGGCCATCGTGTGTGATGTTTTGATTGTAATCCAAAGCAAGATACATGAGTGCAGTTAACTTCGCCACACGTCCCAAGCCCAAGTCAGTGATGAGAGGACAATACCGCAGGCTCAAGTACGTAAGTTTGACCAAACTTTGGATGTGTGCCAAGCCATCATCTGTGACCAGAAGAAGACCAGCCGCATTGAGATGGGTAAGGGTCGACAGCCGTCCCACTTGTTGTAGTCCCACATCTGAGACTTGCTCACAGCGCTCCAAACTCAAGTGCTCCAGGGCTGTTAGTCCCGACAGAAGGACTAAGGCACCATCTGCAAAGCCAGTTATCTCGGTGAGGTCCAAGTATGTGAGGGTGCTGAGCATCCCCACATTTGCCAGCGCTTCAGTTCCTAGATTCCGGCAGCACTGGATGCCCAAATGCATAAGGCAGCCCAGGGTTGTCAAGTGCGCCACCCCCAAATCTGTGATGGTTGTGATGCTGCCCACATTCAGGCATCGAAGGCTGCACAACTCTTGCAGATGAAGCAGGCCTCCATTCGTCACCTTTTCCAGGCCAGCCATGCCAAGATGTGTAAGGGTGGTCATCGTCCCCACATATTCCATGCCATCGTCTCCGATGCCATTGCAGCCCTCCAAATCCAAGTGCTGAAGCATTGTCAGCATCTGCAAATGGGACACACCGTCGCCTGTTATTAATGGACTGATGGCGAACTCGAGGCAGGTGAGTTCCGTCAAAGTCACCAGGTGCCCCAAGCCGACATCCGTGATGAGAGGACAACTGCGCAGCCCCAAGTGTGTGAGAGACACCAAAGTCCCAATGACCTCCAACCCTTCATCTGATATGGAGAAGCAGTTAGACAGATCGAGGTGCACTAGGTTTGCCAGATCCCTCAAGTGTGCCAAGCCCTTGTCTGTGACCTTTGAAGCCTGAGCCAGAAAAGCTCCGTGACCAGAGACACCCAGATGCCTCAGGGTCTTCCACTTGCCTAAGTGCTCAAATGTGACATTGGTGAGCTGGCCACTGCCCAGTTCTAACTGCGTTAAGCCGTTTAACAATCCCAATGTTGCAAAGTCCTTCTCTACAGGCTCTTTGTATTTGCTGAGATCCAATTTCCTCACCCTTGTAAATCTATGTGCAATGCTGTCGGCCACCAATGCAAATGGTATATTCTCAACAACATTGAGTGTGGTTACTGACGCAGACACCCAACGCTCCCAAAGTTTGTTGACCAACCGAGCAGACTTGAGTGTGACAGGATGAGCATCGTCTTCCCTTTCCAGCACCTCCTTCACAGTCAACAGGACTGTAAAGGGTATACAACTCCAACCTCCCTTCGCCTGCTTTTGCTCCTAGAAAATGTGCACAGGAAGCACCATTAGGAGGGATCACCATTTCTGCCTGGGAAGACATCTGCCAGGAGCGGAACATATCCAAGCACATAGTTTTGAGCTGTTTGCTGATTGTGTCGCAACCTCATCATATGGTGGTTGAACATATAGCAGTCATGTCCCAGCTTCCATTGTGCTGTCATCCTCAGATTTCGGCTGTATCCATATAGATGTACCCATCCTGGTCTGAAAATAATCTCTTATCTTGGCTCGACGACATCAGCAGAGGAAGCTATCCCAACAAGTCCCCTTTGCGCTGGCATGCACTTGCTCCATTGGCATGACTTGTTGTGAGCGTGGTGTAGATCTGCACTGATGATGTGACAAGACATGACAAATCTCTGCCCCTGCATATATTCACAGTGCTGCATCCAGAGGACAGTTCCTGAGACCACAATTCACGGCTGCGGTCCAGCGCAGGTGTCCAGTTCAGTGCAAAACTGCACAAACCTGCCTCATCAGGTAGTCTGGTTCGATGCTGCTCCTGTAATGGTCAGTAGGCCTTCCGAACCAGCAACCTGCAGTCATGCTGCGACCCCAAGGCTGTCAATGACAACATTTGATTGCTCTCAGGAACTGCCATCATAAGCTTGGTTTGGGTATGCTGTGGTTCGCGTCACAGAATAAATGAGCGGGCACTCCAATCAGAGAATGTAGAATGTCCAATGCAGTGGACTAAGCTGGCAACAAGGCTTTGGGACACAGGATGCATGGCAAGTGCGTATCTTTGTTGTTTGGTCATTCGACTGCATCAGGTGTGCACAGGTGCACACAAACCTTGTGTGGACCTCTCAATACCTATATTGAATCCACTTCTGGACTACTGGTCAACTCAGTGCTTGGCGCTGATGCCACCTGCGGCCAACTGACTTTGAAATGCAGCTAGGTAGCGACAACAAGGACCGTGTTCGAGCGTGCCCGAACGTCAGAAACCTTTTAAAACACAACAATGAGGAGCAACAATAAAGAACAATAAAGATTAGAGGGGCAGCAAAGACAGATGCAAAGCTTCGCGGCTGCAGGCCAAGATCCGTTTCACTTGCGGAACAGTCTACATCGCCCCCCTGCCTCTTTACCTAGGGCTCCTGTCCAGCCCGAACGCTGATGAGTTCCACTGATTGTGCTGCTGTGGCCAAACGAGAACAAACCCCCGTCACCAATTAAAGGGCCAGCGCTGTCAACGCGAACACCTATTGGCTCATTCGTGGCCGCCCGTCCGAAAGCCTCAACGCCTTTCCCAAACGCATCAGCAGATTGCGCCTGGCTGGCAGAAGATGCAGCCAGCTGATGATCTGGACAATCGCCACTCCGCAAATTGGGTAGCGGAATGCTTCCTCGCCGTTCCCCAGCAGGGTCGTTTCCACACAAGGGCGGTGGAGTTCACTGTGGGCCGAGCGGCAAGGGGGCAAACACCTCTGTGTTCTCGTGATGACGTCCCAGGTGTCCGAACGCAGAGCGGGGATTTCACAGAAATGTTCAAGCCCTGACGTTGCGGAAGGTGCCACTCAAAATGCGCACTGTCGTCTTGAAAGTACACGTAGTTTCATGTTCGTACTATCGGTATACCGACGTATCCGTATTTCGATGTTTCGATAGCCGCAATCTGACGGCTTCTTGCCCATTCGAAAAAATGTCCACTGTAATCCATTCGTCGTACATGAGGACACGCCGCTCTTGCAAACCAGCCACGTTATTGTGAGCGAGGCAGGGTGTTGTTGGAGCCTCGGCAAGCGAGAAATCGATTGGCTGATGTTTCTTGCAGGGAAAGGGTCGCCCCTTTAAATATAATGACCAGCATTATGATATGATGTGTCTTGATGACTGATGGGGCGTATGACTGGAACAGGATCCGATTATCAAGCTAATGTAGAGATAAAAAGAAGAAAGATTAGCAGTCGGATATGGCCGAAAAGGTTTATGTTGATATTGATTCTGTTACATGGAAGACTGAAGCCGTCATCCAGAATCGTCAAGCCTTCAGGCATGGTGGGCATATGTCAAATGTTTGGTAAATGAAAGTCACTGAGAATATGTTGATGGACGGCACTTCTGAGTCATGCACATGGCTGGCTGGCTAAAAGGAAGGCAGGATTGCGAGGCTTGGGCTATGTATGCCCGATTTGAAGCTTCAGCCTGGAGAGGGGCAGGAAGAATCTGGCCTGACAAATATGGGAAAAGATGGCTGAGTAAAGAGATGGTGCTAGAGGCCAAGTTCGTGCAAGAGAACGAGCTGGAAAAAGCGTGCTAGAATGGGTTTGGTATACTTGATATGGGCAGTAGACAAAAGCGGATGGGGTGAGACAACTGGTCATGACACAAGCACGAAAAAAGAAATAAAGGAAGTGCTGTGGGTTGGGGGCTGGTTGAGCATGAATTGTGCGCATGACTGAAGGCTGCATGAATCTGGCGTCAATGTACAACATATGCATGCTGCAAGCAGCACGCTCCATGGCAGGTTGCCCCTTGAGCATGTTACGTAAATTTGCAGCCATGGAATCGCTGAAACAACTTTTGTCGCTTTATAAAAGGACAGGTTGACAACTGTGACTAAAACAAGCGTCCGCCAGACTCCAATAAAACCTGAACATGCCTCCATACCAGGCTTTGTTTGTACGTCGTAAAAACTGATCGTATTTACGTTTTTACGCGCAAAAGTGCGTAAAAATACGTAAATACAACGTAAAAACTGCCTGGTGTACATAAGGACAGTACATACAGATTTACAACGTCCGGAGAGTGACAGCCAGACGCCTTGCAAGGCTCTTCCAATTGGAAGAGGCAGAAAACGAGTTTTTGTTAAACTCCATTAACGCCCTTGCCAAGGGCGAGGTGGAAATTGTGTTGTGGGTTTTGGAGATGGCGGAGGACTGACCATTGTATGCAACTTTCATCGTGTAACCTACATGTGCCAGGGAGCCGCAAAAACGTAAAAATAGCCGTAAAGTTGAGGCCTTTCGCAAACTTATTTTTTACGCGTAAAAACGTAAAAGCAAAAACGTAAACGTTAACGTAAAACCAAGCCTGCTCAATACAAGTGGCAGGTCATTGTGATTGAAAGGAAAAGAAAACGGATGAGTACTAAGAAACGTTAAATGTAAAAACAATCAGGAAGAAATTAGGAAATTGGGTCGTAGCAATGTCCTGCGATGAGCAATCATACATGGGACCAAAACTAGGAATGTATGACAGCAAAGAAAAAGGTCTTGATGGAATGTGACGGGCAGTTCATCACATTGAGATTTCAACTTCCTGGAATAGCTAGCCTTGATGGTAATTCGCTGCTGGGATTGGGTACCAATCTGCTAATCCATTGGCACCCCAAGTATGGACCCAGCTGAATGTCACGACATGGAACATATTGTCAAAAAGATGTGCGAATGGTTACTATCACAGGTCCGCAAGGACACCCAGTTGTGTTCGCTCGCATGGGTATGATGAAATATCAAAAGAAACCACTATGCCAACCGGGAACACGGGGGCATGAAATGACAGGCCCTGGACGGGTGGCGGCACTGTTATAGGATCAGTTTTTTGACTGGACCTAAAGGTAAGTAGTGTTGAGGGCGTAGTTCGACTCCAAGTCGGATCATAGTAAGCTTTGTCGAAGCTCGGCTGAGCCACTACCTCACTGAGGTCCAGTAAAGTGTAAGGTGACCGGAATAGACATTTGGAGTCCATCAAGAGACAATCAGAATATAATTACATGTCCTTACATGTTGTCTTTTGTCAAATACAACCTTGAGAGTTAAGGCATGAGGCAGCTCAAAGAGAACTTTCAAAACAAGTAGGCCCTGCGAGACTAGCATTCCCCTATTCAGTGCAGTAAATTAGAATGCCCGCCTGCTCCAGTGAAGAGCAACCTGTCAGGAAACACACATGTAGCTCAGGGACACTCATTGACACAAAAACAGACACACAACCTACGAAAGAGCTGGAAAGCGCTGTCTGAGAAAGTTGTAAAGAGCTGAACTGTGCTGAGTGGACACAAAACTAGTGGTAAAGCTGAAAGCCAAACTATACTCTTACGACATATTTGTGCCGTTTGGCAGTGTAAGAAGCCCTGCGAATAGTACTAAGACTGGGCAGGTGCGCTCATAAATACCCATCAGCTGATCCAACTTTGGAAAGCAGCTGGTGCTGCGTTACCTGCTGTGACTTGTGCCAATAAATTGGCTTGAGGCCCGATTCTGACAGCGAGGCTTGTCAAGCTAGCTGGGAAAGTGAGTGAACTGATCTGGCGCACCTTTTGCCCTTTAATGCGCGGCGAGTCATTGCAGCAGGCCAATTGGGCTGGGGAACTTGCGCGGGCGCAAAGTCAGTTGGGTTTCCTGTGGAATTCGGCTCGCGCAAGGCGCGGGCAGCTTAGGCAGACAGACGGAGCAGCATCTGTCACGTCGCAGCCTGTGACAGTACTCATTTCCGGCTCAGCTATCTGCCCTAATCATTTTCAACTTCTCTGCATTTTTGCGCTTGGCATTGTAGTAGGTTGCTGCATGCCACTAGGGTGCCTCTGTCTGGGTGTTTGGATTGGACGGGCGCTCTGAATCATATATACGTGGCCGTGGCTCACGAGCCATAATTGGCAGTCACACGCGATGTCCATTCAAAACCTCCAGAACACGACGTGCTTAGTGGCGGGTCTCACACGGACTGGGAGCCAACACACAACTCTGTCAGCGAAGGCAACGAGCTGTGAGAGGACAAGGACATGGTTGTGCAATGGAAGGATTTTGTGCGTCGCTTGTTCTCCGCGAGCGATTTCGTCCTGGACTTCCCGTGCTCAAGCACCGGGAAGCCAATGGAGGCAGGATTAGCAAAAAACAATTCGCCTCATACGCAAAAACACATGCATTGCTCTGTGATCTTATTTGGGGCTTAAAATTCATCTAAAAATGCGTTGCAGGCTTGTTATTTACGCCGTAAACACAGATCGTATTTACTTTTTATGCGTAAAAATAGCA